ATAGATGTTTTGAAGTCTTCTCTGTTTTATATCTGAGTGCCAACATCAGCTCTGTGGCAAAACAGAGACTAGAAGCAGCCTCCTGCTTGTTCTGTGTTGGTTTCTGTGGAGCTTTTAATAGTACCAGACCCCAGGTGTCTTGTTGTAACTGTCTGTACACACGGTGTGATTTCTTCCATGAACTTCAGATTTAGGGGAAGATGCTTATTAGCTCATAATGTAACATAAGGTGTATTTCTCTAAGAACGTAGAGCGACACCTTTCACAGTTAGTAGGCGTGCACAGGCCTCAATAACCTTCAGTTTAATGAGTAGGAAACATGAATCCTTAACAGAGAGCACTTAAAATCTGCAAATGAAGAGTTCAAAAGGTCAGGAAATGTTCTCATTCCTCTCTGTGTGCTGTATAGCCACTGCCTTAGGCAGCACTGCTTTCTTTATGCAGCATGTCAAACATTTGTGCTTCAGTCCAAGAGACGACTCACTCAACTGTTATCTGTTATTTTCTACTGCTATAAGACTGCTCAGGGGAATTATGGTGGTTCTGTGGCCTTGCAGAGGAGTGTGGAACACACGTTAAAACCATCTCAACTGAGCTGAATGCCTTTTATTTGCTTCCACTCACAGGCCACTGTGTGTGCTGCCGCATTGATTATGTACAATTAAATAAGTTTGATTTTAAAGGCCTATTTGTGCTACGGTACCTCTGTCAAACAGTCTAATCCACTCATTTACTGTACCTCAATCACATTCCTCACTCTCCACTTAATGGATCCCAGGAGGATATTATATTCATTAATTCTGTAATGTGAATTAATATTACTTTACATGCTTGTAGTTTTGTCCACTTCATTTTAACTTAAGGAAAAGGAGGAGTTTTGTGCTATACAGTAACTGCGAGAATCCACTGCACTGCTGTCTTTATTAGGGATGCTATTTTGATCACAGATGCCAGAGCAAGGCATTGATGAAAAGGTAATCAAAGCAAAGTTATGGAATTTTTCAGAGCCCTCTCCTAGACAGCACAGAACACTAATCAAAGCCTGTGTGTCCCTGGAGAAGCTTCAGCTTGCCTTGCTGGCGGGCTTTGAGCTCATGGGAGAATTGCAGTGACAAGCTGTGTGCGCTCATCAGGGGCTCTGTCTTTGCCACACAGGTACAATAGACCTCCCCCTCCCCTCTACAGGGCAGCACCCTGCAATAAATCCATTAGAGATATGTACAGTTTCTGTAGACATGATAAAGGAGTAGGTTGAAATTTATCTGATTTTAACAGTACTTCCTATAAGTCAAACTGAAAGTGCAGAGCCAAAGATAATAAGAAGGCTTTTTCTCTGGTTGAAGGTGTGATATTGTATGGATTCAGTATAGTACGTTGTTTGTATATGGATTTTATTTTTACATTGTAAATACATGGACTTATACAGCTTCTATGTTTTATTTCTAAGGTGTGCTAATTTAGTACTCCTATAATATCCTAATAACATAACATAAAATATGACTAAAATCATAAAGATAGAATCCTGATAAAATACAGGGTTATGCTTTTAATTTATTGATTCTTAATAACATAGTTATGAGCTGTCAAAAATGTCAGGTGCATTGCTAATGAATTAGATGTTTTCTCTCATGGCTCACTTAGTGAACCTCTGTTCTTCCCTGTTTGCACCTTGACAGTTTTGTGCTAGTTAGTGTTAGGCTAAGAGCTTAACACGGGAACAGCTCATTTACAAAGTGGTCTGTTTTCTGTCTGAAATCCAGTTAGTCCATTCTGAAGATTCTGTATGAGCTGAATTTCATTTGGATTTGTACACAGGGTGTTTGATTCAGAGTGCTTTTCCAAGAAATGCGATTTTCAGTCCTTTATTGTAAAAGTGTCAAGGCCAAATTGTGCGGCCTGCCTTGGTTTTGCTCTGCCACTAGAATAGCCTGTCTGCTCTGAGGTAACCAAGGGCTGTGGAGCTCATGCATTTGACAAAAGAACCTTAGACCTAGTGGCATGGTTTTATCAAGCCTCCCAGGGGACCCAATCCTTCAAGAAGGTGAAGGGAGAAAAAGTATAAGGATTTTTCCTTTTTTTCTGAGCAATTCCCTTAATCTTTTACATGGTGTGCTATATGTACAGTATGTGCACTGGAGCTACACAGGTTTTAAAACACAAATTCTACAAACCTCTGACACTGTAAATAAAAATGAATGCTTCTGAATTTGTTTAATGTCCTCTCATACACAGTTCAGAGGTCTGATGGGATTTTCTTTCTATGTTCTTGTCCAGATTATCCTTATAAACATGCTAACACTACTGGATCTCCAGGAAGGATACAAATATGTCATTGCTTCTTTTGTTTCTTACTTTTACTATGGTAGATGATGGCAAACACAAAAAGAAGCAGACTACAGAACGAAGTCAGAGTACAAATGCATACAATCAAGGAAAGGTAATGGTAAGACAGTCAAGGAAATCAAATGAACATGAACCTCCTTAGTCCATCTGGTCCTAGACCAGATATAAGTATTCAAATCCTCAAAGGCACTGACAAAGTCAGCCCAGCGAATTTCTTCAGAGTGGTCAATGAAACACAAATCATAGTTCACAAGTGGAAATTGTGGAAGTGCATTTATAACTGAGAACAGGAAGCACTTTGTTACACAAATGGATGTTGGGAGTTTGGAACTAGCTATCTATCCAGGTCATTGAAGCCGATATTTTGCTTCTTTCAAGAAATGGAAGGATGAGTTTATCCATTCAATTAACTACTAACTACCAAACAGTCCAGAAGGTCTGAACTTCTCCTCGCGTTTGTAGTTAGTTCCTTAGTTCCTTATTGAACCTCCTGTTCCTGTGTTCTTAAGCAGAAAGAAAGCGAGTGCGGGTGATAAGCATGGAACATGGAAGCAGAACTAAGCAGTAGCACTTTCTGGAAGACTGTCCAGCACTACAAAGCCACACACAAGTTTCTTGTGTGACGTTTCTTTCGCATAACTCAGCCAAGGGGTACACAAAGCTGCACACAAATCCTAAGCGGAATGATATTGGGAATTTCTGGATCACACCGCTGTCATCGTTCTTTTCATGGTTTACAAGGCGGGGAAGGTGAGAGGTGTGGGCGGGGAACTCACTGCTGTTCTCACAGCCTTTCACTGCAGCATGTGAAGAAAACAACTGGATTGAAAACTGCTGACGTCTATTTTAATTTAGGAATTGACGATCAGTCTCTCTTAAGGTTTGCAGACTTTTTTTTACCAACTATAAATGTACACAATTTACAGCTAACTTGTTGAATAATTTGCCCTCTTCAAAGTCATTTTAACTGAAAACACATATCAGGTATTTAGAAAAAGAACATTACATTACTGAATTTGATGATACCGCCCTATATAAACGAATGAAATGAGATGCCAGTATATCATGATCACAAATTAAAAACAATTTGACATTTTAATTCACGCATCGTCTTCTTTAATCACTAGAACAGTGTAAGTGTGAATCATGTGTTGCATTGATTTGATGGACTAATTTCTACGCAAGGCAGCATTACCTATCTGGCCTAATGAGGTTCGCCCTTAATTCACCTGATGCAGTTTCTCACTCATCTCCCTCATCTACTGTGCATTAGGGCTACTCTTCAGTGTGGGATGAACTGGGTTCCGTATGCAGTATATGAAGCAATTATTTCGTTACTTACAGTACATTACGAGGTTAATCTTCACTGTTGTTTTTATTACTGCAGTGTAGGAAGTAAATGGGTTGTGTGAGAATTCTATACAGATATTAATATTTACACATCCCTCTTTTTGCTTGCAAATGTGAGTTTGTCAAATCACACAGTGATTTTGGCTGTGATGTGTGAATACATTGCATGGTGCCCCCATTTATCTTTTCTCCAACACTCAATTGTTTCTGTGTGTAATGGAGCATTGCTCCATTCAAGGCATAGTCCTACCTTGTAGTTTATACCAGAAGTTCCCAGTCCTGGAGGTTGTTGTTCCAGTCCAGCTCTCAATCACACAATTAAAGCCTTGATTGACTTAACAATTGGATTAAATTGAACTGTTTGATTCTTACCAGCTCTGAAAAATGTTGGATGTTCCTTTTTGTCTGTTGCATTTCATAAGCAAAATAAAAGCCCCAAACTTTTGAGTAGAAGACAAACTTGCAAATACATATTCCAATCAAGTTTGAGTAAGGTAAATTAGATTTGGCTGAAATGCAAAACCAGCAGGTGTGTGAGCCTGCCAGACCAGGACTGGGAACCCCTGAGGTGAAACATCCTGTCTCCAGGCTTTAGGATAGTTGTTTTTAATCCTGGTCCTGAACAACCCTGGTGTCTGTTGGGTTTTTTATTTCAAATGGGGACATAATCCTGTACATATTGGTGCTTGTAACTAATCTGTTTTTTGGTTTAACCTTTTCTAAACATGGTTAACGAAGGACATGTCCTACAACTGTATTACAAAGAATCTTAAACAGCATCTATTGTCTTTAATGATTGAATCCCAGCAGGTGTGTGGGCCTCCAGGACCCCGGCACTGTGCTCCAGGATAGTGACAGACCCACTCTGACAAGATTTCTCTAGGGATCTAATCCAAAAAAAAAACCCATATGGAAAAACATTGGTCAATATCCGACGTTTTACTGCAGAGTCTAAAAATAGAAGGGCATCCTCGCCCCCAGACTGCTGCCAAAACCCAACCACGAAATAAAGCAACACCTCTTTTAAAACATGAATTAGCCCCTTGTGAGAATGTGTGACTATCCACCATCAATAATTTGATTCACTACCACCCAGTGTGTCTATTTATAAGTGACAAGGGCCTTTGGCAGCCTCTAGTGGCAGGTTGGCTGCTACTGCAGTCCCTTCCAAAATTCGCTTGCACAGCTCTTAGGATCACAAGGTCACAAAGAAAAATGTTGAAAGCAATGTTTATCAAAGTCAATAGTTTACACTGAAATATTCATCCTTCACACTAAGTCTTTGCAGTATGTTACCCTCTCTGTAGTGAACTGCATCCAGAGAATGAGGCGCACGCCCCCGCTGGACGAGCTGCAGCCGCCCCCCTACCAGGACGAGGATGGCTCTCCGCGCATGTCCTGTACGCCCTCCGACCTGGGGGACGCCAAGTGTGAGCTGTCCCACTGCAGCGACAGCCCTCGCCACTCCTACAGCAAGTGCCCCAGCGAGGGCAGTGCCGGCCACGAGACGGAGAGCTACCTCAACAAGGGCTACGAGGAAGATGTGCCCAGCGACAGCACCGCCGTGCTGAGCCCTGAGGTGAGACCGGAGACCTGCGGGTGACACACCCTGCACAGGCTCGTGAGCTACTCCAGCGAGACACTAGAACATCAGGAAATTAGAAAGGTGTGGCATTACGCGGGGGCGTGTTCAGTGTGGAGGCGGACCCCTGGATGAAGGCTTTAGTTGCCACAGCTGACCTGGCTGATTAAGGACGAGCCACAGCTGTGAAGGCTCTTTAAAAACACTCTGAGCACCCCCTGAAGGAGAGGAACGTCCACCGGCAGTCCTTGAGGGGATTGCAGCCGAGCGTAAAGCCCTCGTTTTTCTTTTGCTGTGCATCTCCACCAGGAAAATTTGGCCCTTTTTCACACGTTGAGTTTTTATTCCGTTTTGACCTTCTGCTCCCTGCTCTTCTGGTTACCGCTGTGCTAAGTGGTTCCTTTTCCCAGACTGAACCCCGTTAGACGGGGTAAGTCTAGCCCGGATGGCAGGGTGCACAGCTGTGCATTTTTCTTTTTCCCTTTTTGTTCTCGTTTGTTCTCCTTTTTTGTGTTATTTTCAGTTTTCACTAACCCCACACCAGTGCCTCCGTCCCTCAATTGGGGCGTCAACCTTTAACGGTGTTTGCCGCGGCTCCTCCCACTCCCACATTACAGAGGGTATAAATGATAGGAGGCCATTCGACTCCTTTAGCTCACTTGGTAGATCATCGATCCAAGGATCTAGTCCAGTCTTCTCTTGAAAGAAGCCAGGGTATCGGGTTCAACAATGGGGGGCAGCTTGTTCCCATACAACTCCCATAACCCTTTGCATAAAGAAGAGCCTCCTGTCCTGCCTGGAGTACCTTGTCTAGCTGTTTCTTGAAAGAAGCCAGGTTCGACAACGTGGCTAAGCAGCTTGCTCACCTCTCCCAGCGCTCTTTGTGTAAAAAGATACCTCCTGTCCTGACTGAAGGATCTCTTCAAGCTACTTGTTTAATGCATGAATGGTGGAGAGAGGAAGTGAGAGGCATTACAGGAGGTTTAATCCTTTCAAAGGTTAGTACATGTGACTATAGTAACA